GCCATCTTTATGGATTGTTTACTTTTATGAAAACTTGCTAAAGTCTCTGAAATACACCCATACGCTTATCCGCGCTCTGGAAGTCTCTCAAAACAGATTTCAACATTTTTTCTTCTGCTCCCCCCTTAGTATTTCATTGTTTAGTTCATGCGCATGGGAGGGGCCCCTCCCCCGCTCGCTTTTCTTGTCGTTCCCAGGGGGTAGCTTTCTTTTTAAATTCTCGTGTTTGCTTTAACCCGACTCACTGTTCATTGTTGGTCATACAACCTTGCTCGGCACACGTTCAGAAATGCTCGATCTCCGACGCTTGTCCCGGTCAGTGGCTCTAGATCCATACGGACACTCAGCGGCAGGACTGTCGGGGTGGAGGAGAGCATCAATTCCACAGCATCACACTGGCGAAGAGGCCACCTCTCAAAAGCCCCATGGCTAGGAGCCTTTTGCCAAGGCTCCGGGGGGGGGTGGCGACCCGTCGCCCCCACCATCCGCTGGTGCGCAGATCACATCCCCGGGAGGTCCGGGAGATGTGTCCGCCAGCGTGTCACCATAAACCGGAAGTCGGTGACACCATAGGATTTTCAAGGCAAGAGATGTTCAGAAGTGGTTTCACATTGTCTGCCTCTGTGTAGCATCCTCGGTATTCCTTGGTGGTCTCCCATCCAAATAAGGACCAGCACTGACCCTGCTTAGTTTCCAAGATCTGATAAGATTGGGCTAGCCTGGGCTATCCAGGTTGGGGCAAGACTCAAAACTACCACCAAATAATTTAAACATATTGACAATAGTGAGCTGCAGAACATCAGTGCCATACACCATGCCAGCCCTTTTCCAAAATACATCACACAAAAAATGGAGTTAGAATGGAACGCTGCTTACAACTGGAATTCTAAGAGTTCATGTATATTGTATCCATAACCCATATAACATCCTATAATGTATGTAGGTACTATTTCCCCAATTTTGTATTTGTGGACCTAAGGTGAGAGACAACTCTTAGACCTTGGATAAAGCATTTTACTGTTCACAGACTTGCTTTTCATACTTCCGGGGGGGGGGCAGATTTGGAGTAGAGAAACGGCATATAGGGGGAAAGTTTGAGCCCCTCCTTCTGGTTCTAAAAAGACATTAGATCTCACTTAACACACCTTTGTATATAACATGTACTTAGCCCATCAAGTAGTATGCTTCATAGAATCATGGAAGGGGACCTCCAGGGTCATGTAGTCCAACCCCCTGCACAATGCAGGAAATTCACAAATACTTCCCCCTCCACACCCGTAGTGACTGCTGTTCCATGCCCAGAAAATGACAAAAAACCTTCAGGATTGCTTCCTGATCCCAAAGTGGCAATCAGCATTTCCCTGGGGGTGTAAAAAAGGGCCACAAGAACTAAGCACTGAGGCAATCCTTCCTGCCCTCCCTCTCATGATCTATCTAAGTTCACAGAATTCTCATTGCTGTCAGATGGCCATCTAGCCTCTGTTTGAAAACCTCCAAAGAAGGAGAGCCCATCACTTCCTGAGGAAGCCTGTTCCACTGAGGAACCGCTTTACCGCTCTGTCAGTGGTCTGTAATGCAAATGTAAAAGCTACATTGTCTAGAATATTGATTTCCATTGCAAGTACATCTACTTCAGACAGCTGACATAGCTTTGCTGATGCTTTTTGAGCAATATCAAGGCTGTAATTATACAAGAAGCATCTTCTGGGTAAATACCAAACCAACAGTGACTGTTGTTCCAATGTTACTTAAAACAAAGAATTGTACACACATCTGTACTATGAACATAGGCGATGGTAGTAGTTGTTTCTAAGAAATGGTGCATGAAAGGGCAAACTTTTGTGAGCAGCCCTGAGGCTGCAACTCTTTTCTTTGAAATTGGACATCTTTGCTGCCCTTCCTTTGTGGCTTCTGTCCAGGTTTTGATATGACCTAAAATAGACATACAGTGTATGTGTTCACTAGAATGTTATGAAGAGAAATAAGGCAATGAGGGCAATGTCTTAAATGTGCAGGAACAGTATTTTAAGATATTTCATAAAGATACGTAATTAGAGAAAACAGCCATTAATTATGAGCTCCTAAACAACTCTCCCACTACCTTATAAGCTGCTGTTTTATTTCTGTATCTGAATTAGTGTTTAGCTGTAAAAGATCTGATTAAGGCTGAAATCTCTGATCTGATTTAACATTTATCCTACATAGAAATGAGGAATGAATGATTAAGAGGCTCGGTCCTGAATTGGAAATAATCGCAGAATGCCCGTAATGGGTGGGAAGGTCTAATCCTATATAATAATAGTATTTTAGTCTCATAAACCGCTTTTCAGGCAAACCATTCAAAGTGCTGTGAAAACAGCACAAGGAAGCACATTCCATAATATCCTTCTGTCATTGCTTCTGAAATCACTTGTTAAGTGCATGAAATTTGGTTGAATATCATTTTTCTGAGAAGCTTTATATAGGGGGTGAAGATTAGAACAAGGAGCTTCCTTGTCTTGTTACACATGAATTGATGCCTACCCTTCAGGTCCTTCAGCATCACTGCAGAGGAGGAAATTGCAGTGCTAAGCAGACTTCTATGCCTAACTCTGCATAGGATGGCATTGTCAGACTCATTTTTGATATTGCTGGGATTTTTTGTATTTTTTTTTAATCTAAACTTTCAAAATAGCTTTGTATGCCACCTTGGCTGCCAGTGCTGGCAGAAGGATAAAGTTTCACCTGAGCTACTTATAAGATACTACAATCATTATATCACTTATTTAATATTTAAATTTATCATAAAATATTGAAGGGCAGTAGCAATATATGATGACATCCAGATATATGTGTCTTTTTGTACACCTTCAGAAAAAAATTGTCTTGGTCCTAAGCCGTGAAAATTACAAACAAACAATAAAGAGAGTACACTGATGATAAATTTGCTTTCATTTATTCTGATTTCCTTACATTTAGGTTGCTTCTGCATAGAGCTCTTGCTCCACTCTCCCTATTTCCTATCACAGCAGTTTTTCTTTGGATTTCTGCACAACATTGCTGTGCATTTGCCCACTTTCAAGTTTCCCTAAACCTGCTTGATGCAGTGTTTCTGTGAATATACATATATTCATAGATTCATAGAGTTGGAAGGGACCTCCAGGGTCATCTAATCCAACCCCCTGCACAACACAGGAAATTCACAAATACCCACCCCCAGTGACCCCTGTTCCGTGTCCAGAAGACAGCAAACAAAACAAAAACCTCCAGCATCCCTGGCCAAATTGGCCTGGAGAAAATTGCTTCCTGACCCCAAAGTGGCGATCGGCATTTCCCTGGGCATGTAAGAAAGGGCCATGAGAACCCATCCTGCCCTCCCTCTCATGAGCTGCCTAAGTTCACAGAATCAGCATTGCTGTCAGATGGCCATCTAGCCTCTGTTTGAAAACCTCCAAAGAAGGAGAGCCCACCACCTCCCGAGGAAGCCTGTTCCACTGAGGAACTGCTCTAACTGTCAGGAAGGTCTTCCTAATGTTTAGCCAAAAACTCTTTTGATTTAATTTCAACCTGTTGGTTCTGGTCCGACCTTCTGGGGCAACAGAAAACAACTCCACACAATCCTCTATATGACAGCCCTTTAAGTACTTGAAGATGGCTATCACATCACCTCTCAGTCGTCTCCAGGCTAAACATACCCAGCTCCTTCAGCCTTTCCTCATAGGACTCATAGGGTCTCCAGACCCTTCACCATCTTCATTGCCCTCCTCTGGTCATGTTCCAGCTTATCTATACTTAAATTGTGGTGCCCAAAACTGAACACAATACTCTAGGTGAGGTCTAACCAGAGCAGAGTAAAGCGATACCATCACTTTGTGTGATATAAAATTATTTTTAAAATCCTGCCATTAAAGAAACCTGGCAAAGAGCCCACCAGAGGTGCAGGGGATAGTGGTTGCAAGGGGAAAAACATGGATAATATCTCTTTTCAGAGACTCTTTTGCCTCTGCAAAGGTCTCTTTGTTTGCAATATTAGTGAGAGCAAAATGAGGAATGGCCCCTATGGGTGTGGTCACATGAAGAAGAAGAGGAGATTGGATTTATACCCCACCCTTCACTACCCAGATTAGTCTCAGAGAAGCTTACAATTCCTTTCCCTTCCCCTCCCCCACAACAGACACCCTGTGAGGTAGTGGGGCTGAGAGAGCTCTGAGAGAACTGCCCTTGAGAGAACAGCTCTGAAAGACGATATGTCTGACCCAAGGTCACACCAGCAGCTGCATGTGGAGGAGTGGGGAATCAGATTAGAGTTTGTGCTCCCAGATTAGAGTTTGTGCTCTTAACCACTACACCAATTAACCACTGCACCAAACACTACACCAGACTGAGCACTTTGCCATGATATAGTAGCATTACCTTTGCAGATTTAACAAGCATGATCAGATGACAACATCTGCCTTTCATGCCCCAGTCATTGGCACTCTGTGTTGCCCTGCTTTGGAAGCGGAGTAATCAGGCACCAGGGAAATTCTGGTATTAACGGATGCCAGCATTTCCACTCCACTTTCCCAGACGTCTGAACTCTCCTGCCATGAAAGGAACCTGGAAGGAAAGTCTGAACCTGCAGATCTGTTTCCGCCACTGTTTTTTTTAGTTGCTGCCTATATGCGCATGCACCTGCCTGCATTATTAAAAAAAGACTGGGCAGCACACTTTGTGGCTGAGGCGCTGCAGTAATGTGAATGCCTGACCACCAGATGAGTGCATGGGGAAACCGCCTCAGGGTGTGCTGTCTGGTTTGTTTGCCCCGCAACACTTTAAACCGGTACAATTAGAGGCGTACCCAGGTCGTGGCAAGCCTCCAGTGTGACCGCAGCCTATGTGGACAAACTTGGGTTACAGTCTACCTTTTAATTAAACCGGTGGCAGACGTACTACAGACTTAATGGGTCTAGTTTGTGCCTTTTGTCAGAGAGTACTGGGTACATTAATTTCAATTTCTTCTTTCCCTCCAATCATTCCAGAAACTGGTGGCATTTGCATTGCTCCTCGGCCTTCGGAGAAAGGAGCTGAGATTGTTCCAGCTATAGCAATGCGACCATTCTATGGCATTACTCCAGTATTGCTGGATGAGAGGGTGAGTTGAGATCCTGAAAGGTTATGGGTAACAAAAATGCAGTGACCTTCCAGCTTCTGGGTTTATATGATTCATTTCTTCCCCAGATCTCTAAAGCATTTTAAAGATAACTTCTAGCACAATATTATTAGCACCAGCGAAATTCTGGGAAAAGTGTGTGTGTGTATAGTCTGACATAGATAGTTAGACCATTGGTCCATCTAACTGAAATGTATCTCAGAATCCACAGTAAATAGTGGCTTCTGAGATACCTGGATCTGAAAATATGGGAGCATTTTGTTTGGTTGGAGTAGGGTCCAGGATAGCAGAACCACCTCAGTTTCCATATTTGGGGAACCAGCTTTATCTCCCCCCCACACACACACACACACAGATGCACAGAGAGAGGTGAAAAAGGCTAAAGAGAGAAATATTCCTGTCTCTTCCATTTCTTTTTCTCTAAAGCTGTAAGTCCCAGGATACCAAAATCACCTTAACTTTCAGCATGCGAGCCACTGGCCTCTGCCCCCCCCCCCAACCCACAGGCGAAAAGAGAGAAATATCTCACTCTCCATCTCTTCCCTTTCTTTTTCTCTAAAGCTGCAAATCCCAGGATACCAAAATCACCTTATCTTCTTTCCAGTACATTGTTTGTTTTGATGATCGACAGATTAAGAGTAGAGGCTTTAGGCAGAACTTCCAAAGATTCCAAGGGAAAAAATAAGGCAGTGGAGCGTGTTATGTCTGAACATGAGTAATCTTCCACTCTAGCTTAACTGCTCCTGGAAGCATGCCTGGATTTGTCTGACAGGCCACCTAGTGGGAGCATGTCTGGGCTTGTCTGGGCTTGTCCGGGCAGGCCACCTAGTTAGAGCTTGAAGCAGGGGTGGCCAAACTTGCTTCATTTAAGAGCCACATAGAATAAATGTCAGATATGCTTGAGAGCCACAAGGTGACTTTGGAGGAAGAGGTGGGTTTGGGGGAGTGGCCTGAAAGTGACATCACAGAAAGGGGTGGTGTTTTGGTGCAGGATGTGACATCATCGTAAGTGAATTCACCTGAGCTTTGACCCCCCCCCCCTTATACCTGGAATAAAATGTTTTGATCTTAAACACAGGAGACCCCCCCCCCCCCATATACCTGGAATAAAAGGTTTTTGGTCTTAAACACAGGAGACTGGTTGTGGTGGTGGGGGAGTGAAGGCTTTTAAAATGGCCATATTCAAATCAGTTACCTGGATGGGGGAGAGCATCTGCTTGGCATGCAGGGAGTCCCAGGTTCAGTTCCCGATCTCCAGCACCGGAGTTCACGAGAGGCGTCACCCCAATCTCCGTGGCCCTTGGAAGGCCGGTTCAGTGCACACATGGCTGCCCGCCACTGCCTGCTCAGCAGAGAAGTCCTCCTGCCGACTGAGGCTGGGCCAAGTGGCCCTGCCCCGCCCGGGGCCCAATGCATAAAGGCAACTAAAGCCAGGGAGCAGCGGAACTCTGCCAGCTATGCGCAGATGGGCAGCCACGGCCGAGAGGGCAGCTGCTGCTGCTGCTGCCGTTGTGGGATGAACTGACGGCGCTGTCCGGGCTTCATCGCCACCAGAAGAGTCATGCTTGGCTGCCTGCTGCTGCTCCCCGGCGTGCTGGTTTTAAACACTGGAGACTCTCTCTCCCCTCCCTGGTCGGGCTAGGGAGGCTGCAGGCGGCCTGGGCACGCACTGAGCATTCCCACTTCCCAAAATAAGCCCTGCCACCCAACCGGAGTCTCCTGTGTTTAAGACCAGTGCACCGGGGAGCAGCAGCGGGCAGCTGTGCGTGACTCCTCTGGCGGCGATGATGCCCAGAGGGCGCCGTCAGATCATCCCGTGGTGGCAGCGGCAGCAGTAGCTGCCCTCTCAGCCGCGGCTGCCCATCTGTGCATGGTTGGCAGGGGTCTGCTGCTCCCAGCTGCAGCCACCTTTATGTGTTGGGCCCTCGGCGGGCTGGGGCAAGGCCACTTGACCTGGCCTTGGTCGGAGGGAGGAGTTTTCTGCCTGGTGGGTGACCACGTGCGTGCTGAGCTGGTCTTTCAGGGACCATGGAGATTGGGCCGTGGGAGGGCAGGGGGAGCGGGGAAAGCCTCGTGAACTGCAGAAGATGGCTCCAAGAGCTGCATGCGGCTCGCGAGCTGCAGTTTGGCTACCTCTGCCCCTGAACAAAGGCAGGCAGAATCCTGGAACCTGCCTGCGGATTGGCCCCTGAGGTCAGCCAATCTGGAGCCTGGAGGCCATTTGAACTCACCAATCGCATGGGGGCTGGGAGTGTCTTAGGTGTATATAGTTAGGGTAGTTGCCCCATGTAAAGCATTCCTGTTGAGATGCAATAAAATGCTGCTTGCTGAAATCACTCTGCCTTTGCCTTTGTCGGGTTAAACCCACTATTTAACAGAGGGGTGCTCCTGTTTGGCAAGTAAATGTCCAAAAGCCCCAGAAAAAGAAAAGCAGAGTTGGCAGCCTCTGCACAAGTGGAGAGGATGAGACTGGGCAATTTTGGCTGGCAGAGCAGTGGTAGATACAGGAGCCAGCACAAAAGAATTTCAAAGACATAAGATCCAGGAATTCAGGGTGAGTCCAGGATGAGAATCTATAGATTTCCTGGCCCTGAGTGAGTTAAAGAGGGAGGGGCTTCCCCAAAAGGTGACAAAAGTAGGCTTCCCCCAATCCTGGAGCACTCTGGTAGGGTAGGAAACATTCAGGGAAGGTCAGCAAACTCACCTAGCTTCTTGATAGTAATTAGATTTTGCCCTCAGGAAGACTTACATTTGCTGTTTAAATTATCTTGATAGACTTAGGTGGCTATCTGGTTTTGCAAACTCCTGTGGCAATGTCCCATCAGTGGATCTGTCTCCAACCCAAGGTTTTGGCCAGTCATTGCCATAGCCTCAGGAGAGCCTTGACCTCACCTTCTCCAAAGCAAGGCATAACTAGCTCCTAACATGTCTGCCAAGGCAAATTTAGCCAGGATGGAATGAGGGCAGACAGCACACATCTAAGTACAGTACAAAGATTGGCAATACATTTAAAAGAAAATTAAAATATATGGATGAAGTATGAGTATAAGTTTTAAAATCAGGTTTCTCAAATAGCACATTCTGAAAGTACAGTCATTCCGTAGGCTTATCTCTAATTTTCCTTGCAGCATGAGCATAGAGTGCCATTCTATAGGAGATAGTGGGATTGACGTCTGAGAGCAAAAAGGATACTATTTCAATGCCTGATGTGGATTGTAAAATTGTTAGGACAGGGTTAAGAAATTTGATTCTGGGGCCAGTATACAGAGGGCATTCTAAAATGTAATGTGTTAGATCTTCTACCAAAATCCCGCACAGACAGATACGTTGATCCTACGGGGTTTTGAGGTGTCGTCCTTTTAACAGCTCAGATGGCATGGTCTGAAAAGCGAAGAGCAGTGAGTGCCCTTCTTATGCTATATATTGAAATAAGAGCCTGATAGGAGGCTCTAGGGTGGTCTGTTTTAAATGCTGGATATCGTGGTGCAAATTTCTGTCGACTGATTAGGGATCTGTCAATTAGAGTATCTTCATTGTAGACCCAGTCCCACAAATGTAAATTGTTACCTGAAGGGGATAATAAGTCGTCCAGAATTGTGTATTTAGCAATGCTGTTGGATAGTGTGCTAAGATGGGTTGGGTCATTAGTTTGCAGAATATGGAAGCTAGAATTACTAAAAGTGCTAGTATTGGCTACCTGATGTTTCTTCCAAAGTTTCAAGATTATAACATGTGCACGAGCCCTTATTGAGGGTAAGCCAAGCTCAGCTCGCATCATGGCTGCTGGTGTCCCCGCCAGAATGCACCTCATAAAATTATTTTGGATTATTTCCAGCTTGGTAAGGGTTTGATCTTGCCATCCCCACAGACACATCTAAGTAGGAAGTGGGTCCTTGGTAACACTTCCCCACCCCCATAGCTAAAGATACAATGGACATGGCCCCATTTCCTTCTCTAAGGCAGGGCCACCAGGACACAGTAATAATGCAATTATTAGTATCCCATCAGGGAAGGCAATAATTCTCTTGATCCATTACTTACGTCAGATAGTTTTAGAAGCTAGCTGTGTTGGACTGCCATAGAACAGCTAGGTTCAAGTCCAGTAGTACCTTAGAGACCAACAAGATTTTTGGGGTGTAAGATTTTGAGAGTCAGTTCTTCATCAGATACCAAAGAAGGGAGCTTTGACTCTTGAAACTTATACCCCCCAAATCTTGTTGGTTTCTAAGGTGCTAACTGGATGCGAATCTGGCTGTACTTTCATCAGAGTTTGTGTTGCAGGCTATAGGAAATGCATTCTTCAGTCAAGCCACTGAGGCCTCCTGGTTTCTAGATGGATTGATCTTTTCCTTCCCTCTCCCATGTTATTTCTCTCTCTCTCTTGTTTTTCCCCACAGACAGTATTATCCACTGAAGGTCCTGTCCCCATCTTATCTTTACAAAAACAAACAAAACCAGCCTAGTGCCTCCTATGAGCATGTTAAAACAAAAAACAAACAGAACTGACTGAACTTGAGAAACTGACAGCCTGAGCAATATAAGAGTTAATAAACAGATGTGAGACCGAAGTATGAGTCCAGTGGCACCTCCAAGATAATAAAGTTCAGTTCTGGGTATAAGCGAGAACTGAGAGATTTAGCATGTGTAGATGTACATTCCTTCAGATACATTGAAACAGATTTCCTCCCACGTTCAATATAGGTATGGGGGATTAGTTGCTAGGAAGAGCTAATTAGGGTCAAGATGCATAAGTAACTGAGCAATAAATATGGCAGAGATTGGAATAATGTGTTTGGTAAGACATGTGAATAGCAGAAAATTGGCATGCAGATAATAAAGGAATTAACAACAGATGTGAGAACTGAGTTTGAGACCCGTGACACCTTTAAGATCAACAAAGTTTAGTTTCTGGGTATAAGTGAGGACTGAGTGACTTAGTATATGTAGTGAGATAAGCAGCTGATATCTCTGTTAAGCCCAGGGGGTTCCATTATCCTGAGTGTTGTAATAACTTGTAATTCAGCAATTTCCTGTTCCAGTCTGTTTCTGAAATTCCTTTGCAATTAAACAGCTACTTTGAAGTCCCCAATTGAGTGCCCTGGGAGGCTGAAATGTTCTCGTACAGGTATCTCAGTTTTGTGATTCTTGATGTCAGATTTGTGTCCATTTATCTTTGGGTGTAGGGTTTAACCTGTTTGTCCTCTGTAGAGAACTGAAGGGTATTGTTGGCATTTAATGGCATATATAGTGTTAGAAGATGAACAGGTGAATAAGCCTAAGATGATATAGCTGATATTGTTAGGTCCAGTGATCGAGTTGTTCGGTATAGTTGCTATCATTAGGTCCTGTTGGTATAGTTGCTATCGTTAGGTCCAGCGACTGAGTTGTTTGGGTGTATGTGGCAGCAAAGTTGGCATCTGGGTTTATTTGAAGCCTGGTCTCTTAGGTCCAAGCCAACACTCTAATCACACTGGCTCTTCATTCCAAGGAATGTCACTGTTATCTCTTAGGGCTAGCAGAACTAATTATAGGAGCCGAGCCAGCCATCTAGCAACAGTAGGAATTTGAGAGTACAGGCCTCCTTATGTTACAAAATAAATTCAGAATTTGCAGTTGTGGGGGAGTTTCTCATATTTTATACGTCGCCTTTCTACCTTATAAGAACCCAATGTGGCTTACAGTGTAAATAATAATAAAATACATTTTCAGAGGGTAACCGTGTCGGTCTGCAGTAGAGCAGCTAGAACCGAGTCCAGTAGAGACCGACAGGATATCTGACAAAGGGACCTCAGACTCTCGAAAGCTCATACCCTGTAAATCCTGGTGGTCTCGAAGGTGCCACTGGACCTGAATGTAGCAGTAATAAAATATATAGAACGACTAGTTAAATTCTATAATTATTGTATATAATTAAATATTTTGATATTATTAATTATTATGAAAATAATTATATTTATTTACCAAATGTCTTTTGCTTCCCTACTCCCAACACTTACTTTCTACATTTAAAGAAAGTCTTCTGTGCCTGTTTGTGGGCACACTATTTTCACCACATATTCTGTCTTTAGTAAGTACATCAGTTAAGTGCTGTGGCTCCCTCACTAGTTCCTGTGTTGATGTTGCTGATATGCTTAGTTATGGGATGAAACAGAATGTAAACACAGCCCATATAGGCCAGCTTCTGAGATATTTCTGATCTTGGATATTTCTGTTTCATAGCTTTATTCATATTTCCCCACAGGGAAAAATTATAGACGGCAGCGGCGTCTCTGGTGCTCTCTGCATTGCACAGCCATGGCCTGGTATAGCAAGGACCATCTATGGAGACCATCAAAGATTTATAAATGCTTACTTCAAAGCCTACCCAGGTGAGAATGATGAAAAGAAATGCTCTCCTCAGTCTTCTACATAAAGGAAGTGATAGTTTAGAAATGCAAAGATCTGGAAAAAATTGCCCTTAGGGATAGTTCATAGAAGCATCTAATGCACAGAAAGTGCCTTAGAGGAACATGTCGTAGAATGATACAGACCATTTGAGGGTAGATTTTGTTCATGAGAGCTATGTAATTGTTTTCAAGAGCCTCGGAAACTACTAGTCACAAAACGGTGGCTCAGTGGGTGGAGCAAGTCACAAAATGGTGACTTCAACAGAAATTCAGCATTTCAGTGCAGGTCTGCAGTGCTCACTTTAGGAAATCTTTCCTCTTCTATTTTCCCAAAGCAAACCACCCCCTAACTTCAGTTGTAACCTGCCTTGCAGAAAGAAAATATACAATATATTTTCCATAGAAGTGGCAAAGAGCTTTGATGCAGGGGCAGAGGGTCAACAGCATGCTTCTTTTCCCTTCAGAGCAAGGGAGGATGTGAAAAAGGAGGAGACGCCATGAGAAATGGTGTTGTTACTGTTATTTTCCCACTCAGAGCAAAGCTGCAAGCATATGCCTTTTCCTAATGAAAGAGAATGAAGACAGAAGCTGCTGTGGTAGCTTTAAAGGGAATAATAAGAAAGTGATTATGACAGCACTGGAGGAAGGGTAGAAAGCTAATATAAACTGCTTGGAGAGTGACAGGGCATTTCTGAGTGAACTTCTGCCCACCTTTGACATGGACTATTCCTCAATATCAGTAGGATGCCTAACTGGACAAGTCTAAATTGCAGGGGTGGCCAAAATGCAGCTCGGGAGCTGCATGTGGCTCTTTCACACAGTCTAATTTAATGTTAATAAAAAGCAAATTTGTGTATTTTTCAATAAAAATGTGTGTGTAATATTTGTTCATGTCTTGTAGCTCTCAAACATTATAGAAGTATTAGCTTAACAATATAGAAGTTGCTTTTCTTAACATTGAGAGTGGTCAATCATCATCATTGATTGTGTTAACAAACCATCAAATCTGACTATATAAAGAGCATTCCAGGAGAATCGCTAGTTGACTTAAACACAAATTTCAGAGAACAGTGGCATCTGATTTTACAATTGTTTCCCCCTCCTTCATTTAAAGCAAATTAATAATTAAATTTCCCTCAGTAGGTGTAACACAGTCAATTTCTCTTCCCACACTGTAATCTTTTTTCTTCTTGAACACTTTCCCTGTGGCATTGTCTTGCTGGAACTGGAACTGGTCATCTCAAAACAAAGTCCCTTTTTCTTTTTCAAGAACTGTTATCTGCTTGAATTCTTGCCTTCAATCTTAGAGATCATTCCATTTGTTGCTTTTGGGAGCCAAACTTACAGAGAGTCTATCCGCCCTTTTGCCTGTCAGACTTATTTCGGATATGTCCATGGCATACCCGTTCGCTTTCAACTTTGCTTAAATGTCTGTGTACAGGCCCCACCACTTGAATCTACTCATTACACTCTCCTCTTAGATATTGGAAGTCCCTGTGATCAAAGGCTAGTCGCTTCTCCAATGTTAACACAGTCCCTTGAAAATAACAACCAATATATAGCACAGTTCTTTTGAAGTACCTCATTTTTGCCAGCAGGGGGCAAAGGCTTAGCATACAGCCTGAAAGAGTCTATGGTTACTTCTGGTCACATGGGCCAGTTGCTCTTCCACTTCCTGAAGAAAGCTTGGATCTTGCTTGCTGTTTCTACTGCATCGCCAATCGCCATTTTTAAATATGCTTACTTTTTATAGAATTTGCCAAAGTCCCAAAAACTTGCCCAAATGCTTATTTGGCTCCTGGAGTCTCTCTAATACAGTCTATTGCTGCTTAAAACTCCGTCCCCACTACAAAGGCTTTTCTTTAATCACTTAGAACATTAAATTTTTAGATGCATACACAATGAACCATAATGGATGAACCGGCTCTAAAGTTTACGTATTGCCATTATGATTACAAATGAGTTGTGATAACTTCTTTGCAAGATAACACCATATTACTCTGGAGCAGTGCCTGTTTAAGAGTGTTGTGATCTTGAATTATAGTACTTGCACAGTTGTATACCTTAGGGATTCTCTGTTATTATTTCACAGGTTACTATTTCACAGGAGATGGTGCTAACCGAACCCAAGAAGGCTATTACCAGATAACAGGGCGAATGGATGATGTTTTAAACATCAGTGGACATAGACTTGGAACTGCAGAAATTGAAGATGCCATGGTAATTATTTGGGCAAGGAAGAGGTGTTTCTGTGTAGCTCCAATAATTCACTGATTAAACATAATTGACTACTAAGGAGCAGGACTAATTTACAATACGTTTGGTTTTACAGATGAGCTTACACATGCAAGTTTATCACTTTTGAAATGTATCATTGTGATGCTACTTGTATACACCACAGGGGAGATTTTTACCACCCCAACTCCAGTACTGTTTACCACATCAACTCCAGTACTGTTTGTCATTTAAGCCAGTTTGCACATCATCAGGTCACCAAGATGAAGACCTGGTTCTCACAAACTGTTGATGTCAAATACCTGTGTTTGGGCTGTCATGACCTCAGATTGCCGCTGGGAGTTCGCATAATCAAATGCACCTTCATATGAAGGGAAATTCCTCTACAACAAAAACTTGGGAGAAGTATTTAGCCCCACACCCATGCTAGTTTTCATAGAGCCTTCACCTGCTGTCTGAAGTGGTAGTACTATTGAGCCCCTTCACTCCTCCTTCCTCTATTTGTGTGTGAAACTTGGTTCAGACTTCCTGGTTTTATTCAGTTCCAGTTTGTTGTGATGTCTGATTGCAGGTGTATGGGTGAACTGCAGTGTGCTTACTTCACACAAACTGAGATTCCAAACTGGAATTAAACTGAGGCTTAGTATCCCAGTTTATCCTGCGTTGGGTGGGATGGGAAGGGACAAGACAGATTGCAATTCACTCATGCTCCTACATTCAAATGTCATGGCAAATTGGCACTTGATCAAGCCAAGAACTTTTGAATTAAGCTCTGGGAGGTGAGAGGAGAGAGAGCACTCCAGGAAGCTGTGCTCCTGCACATTGTACTCAGATCTCAAGTCTGTTCGATGTGTTGTTTGAATGAAGCCCAGTTTGCTTTCTCCTGTACTGTTTGTGAGAACAAAACCCTTTTGGCATCCATTCATATAATTTAAAGTAAGGTGTGATGTTAAGCCAATATAGACACATAACTTTATTTATAATTTTTTGCTCATGTGTTTAAAAGGATGAACATCCTGAAGTACCAGAAACAGCTGTGATTGGTTATCCCCATGAGCTCAAAGGGGAAGGTAAGTGAATAAAGAAGAAGAGATTGGATTTATACCCCGCCCTTCACTACCCAAAGGTGTCTCAGAGCGGCTTACAAACTCCTTTCCCCTCCCCTCCCCACAACAGACACCCTGTGAGGTAGGTGGGGCTGAGAGAGCTCTGGCAGAAACTACTCTTTTTCAAGAACAGCTCTTATCAGAACTAAGGCTTGCCCAAGGTCATCCAGTCAGGTGCAAGTGGAGGAGTGGGGAATCAAACCCGGTTCTCCCAGATTAGATTCCGCGCACTTAACCACTACACCAAACTGGTGATTTAAAATCCATTATCTGAATTAATTTCATTTTTAATCATTACTTCTTTAAGGCCTAGGTATGAACACGTTTGGTCAAAGGAAAAACAAGTAAATTGCTTCCATTCCAGTTACCTGTGTTGCTAGTATGATCATCATACAGGAGTAGCTGATTAATAATCTCTTAGTACATAAAAATGCCTTTCCTTCAAAGAATGGGTAGAAACAGTATCTAGAAATGAAGGTTTGCTGGGGACCGTTTATGAACTCATTTAATTTCATTTGGCCTGATAACTTGGTCTAAGAATTGTTGTCTAAGAAGCAGTGATACTTTAGACCAGAGGTGTCAAACTCATTTGTTATGAGGGCCAGATCTGACATAAATGGGACTTTGTTGGGCCGGGCCATGTGTGTCATAAAATGTAATGCCAGGTAGCGCAGATATTCCACTGGAGCCCCACATTAAGAGGGGGGTGTTAAAACTAATATTTTTCTGCAAAACTGGAGTTCCTTGAGTTTGTAGAAGTCTATATTTTAACTGTGATTGGTCCCAAACCTTCCCCCCACCCTTAAAAGATGCCTGTCTAAAATGGAAAGGTGGGGAATACTGGGATTTGGCAATGGAATTTTAAAAATAAAACGTCAAGAAGAAGCACAAGAATCACAGCAGAAACTGAAAATATAAACTAGAAAATATAAATGCTCTGAGGAGAACCCAGGGGAAAACATGAAATGGCTGAGCATTGCAAACTTCTCCCCCCTGCCCCCGGTCTACTCAGAGTGACAGTGGCTCTCCATGGTCTCAGGTTTTTTTTACTGGGTGGCCCTCTGTTCCCTGCACTCAGCGGCAGCTCAAGGTCAGAAGGGTAAGTATGGGCAGGGGAGGGGGCGGGGAAGAGAAGAGAGCCCCACTTGCAGGCCAGATTAAAGCCCTAGGTGGGCTGATTCTGACCCGTAGGTTTGACACCCCTGCTTTAGACTTCCTGATTCTTCTCCCTGCCCCAATTAAATAAATACCTGTAGAATAATTCATTACTCGGTGTATTAAAGAACAATTACAACTTATGCTTCTGAAGATATTTTCAAGTAACATTCTTAGCATCAGTTGTGAATTTTACACATTTTAAAATCAGGGCTTCATTAACAGGAACATCTATTCATTTCTGATTTTCTATTTTGCATGAACAACATATAGAATGAAACACCATTCTTAGCTACACGTCTGCATTTTGGAAATATCCTTAGAACCAACAACACTGAGATGAAATTGCCATCTTTTATTGCACTGAGTAACAATTATTTTGTATCTGTTCCCTTGGCCAAAAAGACTGCCCCATACTTTTTGAAAAGCAGTTTAATGTAAAGTAAGTGAACTCTGTTTTCCTTTCTTTCAGCTGCATTTGCTTTCATAGTGCTAAGAGATGACAATGCTCTTCCAGATACCATTACCAAAGAGGTTAAAGCAATAGTTGCTTCTAAAATAGCCAAGTATGCTGTGCCTGATCACATTCTGGTAAGTTCTTCAAGATGATAATCAAAATGAGAACAGTCACATAACTGTTTGCCAGTGTCATGTTTTTTTCCAAGTTATAGGCATTACTTCTCAAAATATCAACTGTGCCTGTTAGTTTCTCTGCAGGCAGTTCCTAGGGCAGGATCCAAGCATTTCCCCAAAGCAATACCATACAGCATCTTACATGTTATGCACAATTATATTAAAATCAAAGATTATAAGCTCTTCGGAACCAATTGGTTGCACCAAGTACTCTAATACAATGGACCAAACTTCAACAAAATCAGAACGAGTTGGATGAGATTCATATTTATTCAACTGATAAGTAATTTTGTCCATTATATACATTTCCCATAACTTATGATGCCACAAATGGAAGATTTTATTCACTTACCGTGAAGCTTCCTTCTCGGTGGTCCCAGAGTGGGTCAGTCCTTGATCCCTTACACTTGGGATTAGCTCCTCCTCTCCATTTGCAGGGCCGGCAAACTTTGATCCTGGAGGGGAGGGGCTTGTCCTCTGGATCCCCAGTCATTCACCAAGCCAACCTTCCCCCAACAACCTGTATAACACTGAACCAAAAGAACCACCTGCCACCCAACCAGTAACTGGTTCGACCACCAGGTGTTCAATATCAACAACTTTATTTAAACATCAACCACTACATACAGACTTCTGCTGAAATGTACACCTTTCTGGTAACCAGCCTCCCACTGTACCGGAAGCCACTCCCTCAGACAGGGCGGGTAGGACTGACTCACTCTAGGACCACCGAGAAGGAAGCTTCACGGTAAATGAATAAAATCTTCCATTCTCCGGCGGTCCCGGTAGTGGGTCAGTCCTTGATCCCTTACACTTGGGACATAAAAGAGCAGTACAACCCAGGGTGGGTCGAAAGGCTTCCGGACCTTACAAGACCTGCTGAAGTACCCTCCGACCAAAGGCTGCCTCAGCCGAAGCCATCTTATCTATGCGATAGTGCTTAGTAAAAGAATGAATGGACCTTCAGGTCGCTGCTTTGCAAATAACGTCTAGGGACGGAAATGCCCTATATGAAGCAGAAGATGCCTTGGTTCCCTGTTGCGTAACTTCAAAAGAACTTGGGACCCCATTCTCCATGACTAAGCAGGCTCCGTTGGAAACCGCACCATCATTAGTTCCATATTCATCTGAATCATCATCAGGAACCATTGGATGGCTGGAAGGAGACCCCGGAAAACCTTTGGCCAGAGGAACCTCAGCCTCTTGTGTGTCCTGTCTGACTGAAAACCTAGACGGAAAATCTGAGACAATCCCCTGTGGGACCTCCTGTACACTACCTCCTGACATGAGAACAGACTTCCCAGAAAACACTTGCCTTCCAGTGATATTCTGATTCCCCCTTTCATTTAATGTACCTTGGAGGAGACAAGAGTATACTCTTCGTTATCACCTCATTATTACAGTCTTGCCTCTGTTCCTGTCTATGAAAGATAGAACAGATTTCGAGATGGCGGCCTAGTCACGCTGCAGAGTCCTTTTTGGAACCCTTGGAACCCTGACCTGATTTCCCCGCAATAGGCTGTGGTCTGGGATCCCTAGGGCTATTCTGCCATCTACCCTTGAATGACCTACTATAATTCTGTCTGTCATCTCTTCTGAAGTCCCGAGAAGACTGAAAATGACTCATTGTTTTCCCCTCTTTCTTCTTTGACGGCAGTACCCTTTTCTTGTCCTTGTCCTCTATGAGGTATCTCTCTAGACCTGCACCAAACAAGTTAACTCCCTGGAAAGGTACTGCCGCCACTTTGGCTCTGGCTGCAGGGTCAGCATCCCAGTTCCTGAGCCACGTATTCTATCGAGCTGTCATGCTGCTGGCCATGGCTCTAGCTGTTAACTGGAGTGCATCCAGAGAGGCATCTGCTGCAAAAGCTGTTGCCAGCGCAATCTTTTTTAGCTCATCTTTCAAGGCCTTAAGTATGCCACTCTCTGCTGCTGTAAGATCGAAGGTCCAAGTGTAGGTTGCTGTAGCAAGCAAAGAACCAGTGGGAGATGCTCGCAGGGAACTGGCAGATGCTTCAAAATCCCTATGCAGTGCCTTCTCCACACGTTTGTCACAATTGTCCTTGGGAAGACCATCGGCATCCATAGGCAGAAGAGATTAAGAAAACAGAGAGTTGATTGGGTCATCAACCACTGGGAGTTTGAGCTTTTTTGTCACTTCTGGAATAAGAGAGTACAGTTTTGCAATCATGAGGTTATTAGCCTTGGGATTTGCAGGATGCTCCCATTCAGACATCATAATGTTATAAAAAGCCGCTGGTAGAGGTACTCCTGTTGCTTTGGCATTAGGTTTGGGAATAGCCTTGTCAGACCCTACTGGAAAGTCTGCAGTCTCTGAATCTTCCTTTGCCTTAGGAGTATATGAAAGCTCCAGTGCTCTTAAAGCCTTTGGCAACAACCTGGTATACAGTTCTTGAGGAAAAAGTCTAGACTGGCTAAGAGGAACTGCTTCTTCTGCTTCCTCGGACAATTCTCCCTCCTCATTGTCCGATGCAGGTGAATCAGAACCTGATTCTTTTCCCATGTCACTAAATAAAGGACCATGATCTCCCTCTTCAGGGTGAACCTTCTTTCTAGGAGGGGTGGTATCTTGAGAACTGCTGTGCCTACATCGCTTGCCTCCCTTTGATTGAGAGGTGGATGTTTGCTGCCACAAATCTCTAAACTCCTTTTCTAACTCCTCCTTCAGCCAGGACCGAAGGTTAGACTGAGCCTCCTCCCTAGATAAATCTAGGACCGAAGGATCTTTGTTGGGAGCATGGGTTGCTTCAAGGACCTCTGATGGAAGGGAGCTTGAAGGGCCAGCTTTATCCGCCATTTTGATAGAGCCTAAAAGTGAAAGTAGCATACCATCACTCCAGGGAACGGACAAAATGGCTGCCATTCCCACCTTTTTTTCTTCCCCTGTGATGAGTCCGAGAGGAGGAAAAAGAAAAAATGGTGTGTGTGTGTGAGGAAGAGAACTCTGCTGATAACGAGCCCCTTTCATACTTCTTTTGTACTTTCAATAGCTCTGCCATATTCTTTTTGAGATACAGCAGCCTGAGTTACTCCTAGGAAGGAACTATTTCTCCCCCCCCAAGCCTAGGCGACTACATACATTGGGAAGGCTGGGGGGGGGGAAGGGGGGCTGGGAGCCTTCAGACAGTATAATTAGCTTGGCCAGTCCACCGGATCCGACCACCGCGGCCTGGCTCCCGCCCCACCAAACAACCCCCCTACCATGATTCTGAAAGATGAGTAGTTTTTGCAGAGTCACAACACCCAGTCTGGACTCCCATGGGCCAAAGGACTCTATTCCAGCACCGTACAGGATCGCGCTGCACTCAGCTGCACCACCTGGGTGCTTCCCAATCTCACCTGTTCTTACTCTCCCCCCTCTTGCCCCTCGGCGTCCAAAGGAGGGAGCAGGGAATACCTTCGGCAGCTCTGCGCTATGCTTGCAGGCGGAAGACCAGTTCCCAGCTGCTGCGTCTGCTCGGGAGTCCCAAAAACCGCCGGCAGCAGCTCACTTCGCCTCTGAGAGACAGATCTAGGAGGGGTGGGGAGGCAGAAAAAACACCTTCCCCCACCTGCCTTCTTCTTTTCTTCTCTGTTTTAGGATCTTTGTGCTCCTGAGAGCACAGGCAGATGTACTGCTCCAGAGGCAGGGCTGGTGAAACTGGGGATCTAGAGGACAAGCCCCTCTCCTCCAGGATCAAAGTTTGCCGGCCCTGCAAGTGGAGAGGAGGAGTTAATCCTAAGTGTAAGGGATCAAGGACTGACCTTCTACCGGGACCACCAGAGAAGCAAGTGTAGGTGCATCTGAAGTTCTGAACATTTCCAAGTTGTGGCTATTGATATTTTAGCCACTACTAAAAGGATAGCAATCAGTTTCTTCTTAACATGAGGGACTAAATCATCCAACCATCAATGCTTTTTCCATCACCGCACCCTTACCACCGCTGGTGCAGGTATCATCGGGGCTGCGAGACGTACCTGGCGGATGACAGGGTTGTGTGGACACATACGGTCGTTGTATTGTTTTAACATCTGTAGAACAACATCTTGATCTTATGAATTGGAGTGAGTAGTGGAGCACCGATATTTTATTAATTGTATTATGTTGTATATTGTATTGTATTTTTATATTGTTCTTATTGTTTTATCAGGCATTTTATGCCCTTGTTAGCCACCCTGAGCCTCCGGGGAGGGCGGGATACAAATCTAAAAAATAAATAATAAATAAATAAACCAATGATTTAAAAACAATACCACAGGTGTCAAAGGCACAATATGACCAGTAATTAACTGTACCTTGTCCAATACTAATCACCAGAATTTTTTGATTTTCACAAATTGCCGCCATCAATGTGTATATGTCCCTATCTCTCCACACTTGCATATCTCTGAGTATGACCCAGAGATATGCAATAGCTTCTTTGGAGTATGATACCAATGAGTTAGTATTTTAAATGTTTGAACCCTTACTCATATTATCCAGGAAGAGAATTTATTTCAATCTCCAGATTTGCAACCGGCTTTGATCCAACAGCATCAGGTTACAGTCTTGCTCCCTCAATTTTTGATAGGACAATGGGATTCTATTCCCCATATTTATTAAAAGTGCATACATTTTTGAGATCAGATGGTAATTCTGAAGTATATATTCAAAGTCTGTTAAAGGAACAGACAAGATGTTGCTAACATTTAGACTATTGCAAAGATTACATAATTGCAAATAAAAAAACCATGGTATCTGTGTGTCAAGTTTTTCTTCAATACTGACTTTATCTAGAATACCCTGTTTAGAGGCAATGTCCATTAATCTAGTTAGGTTTAAGCGCCTCCATACCTAAAATAGATCAGTGTCTTGCCCCAACGGAAACCAGTCTTGATTTTAAAAAAGAAGTAAAATTAGTGGTAGCAATTTCTTTCTTAAGAACATAAGAGAAGCCAACGTTGGATCAGGCCAAAGACCCATCCAGTCCTACACTCTGTCACACAGTGGCCAAAAATACCAGGTGCCATCAGGAGGTTCACCAGTGGGGCCAGGACACTAGAAGCCCTCCCACTGTTGCACCCCCCAGCACCAGGAATACAGAGCATCACTTGCCCCAGACTGAGAGTTCCGATCTATACCTAGTGGCTAATAGCCACTGATGGACCTCTGCTCCATATGTTTATCCAATTCCCTCTTGAAGCCATCCATGAAATCCCAAACCTTCAAAATAAAAGATAGGAAGTTATTATTGTTGACCATTTCACATCTGAATTGCTGCTTATTCTAAATTACTTCTGGTACAGTTCTAGGATTTGTGAATTCATTTTGTGGGTTTTTAAAATTCACATTCTAAGGCCATTGCTCAGAAGTAGATATATTATTTTTTTGGGTCACAGTGGGCTTCCTTAGTATTTATGCATGACCAGTGTTTCTGTTGATCTGAGCTTGTATTGTGTGTGGGTCAGAATAACAGCAAGCAGACCTGGGTTAAAATCCCTACTCTACTATGAAGATCTCTGAATATCCTTGGTCTACCCATTCTTTCTCAGATTAACTAACCTTACAGTTGTGTTATGAGAATTAAAAGGGGGTAGATTAACTACATATGCTAACTGATGGGATGCAGTTGGATGGGATACATAATCTAATATGTGCTTACAGATATGTAGATATATTTCTAAATATTCCCTGTTAAACCATCACTACTCTTTGCTCAGTCTCTAGCACTTTTTAAAAATGGCATAATATCAGATAAGTCTCCTTCAGATATAATATTAGGTGCTTCATGGTTATGTTTTAAGTACTATATATTTGTAAAGCAATGGCTCCAGGCTGTAGAAATTTGGCTTGATTATAACAACTAGTATTTGTTTCAGTGTTTCATCATGACTGACATTATTTGCTGTCAAAATATCAAAGAGTCTTGTGGGACCTTAAAAATCAACCAGTTCCATGTGGTTTAAGTGTTTGTGAGCCAGAGTCCAATTCATTAGACAGCTGAGTATAAAACTTCATGCATCTGACAAAGTGAACTTTGGCTCATGAAAGTTTATGCCATAATAAATTTATCAGTCTTTCAGATGCCACAAGGCTCTTTGCTGTTTTGCTCCAGCAGACTAATACGGCTACTCCTTTGGAAAGGCCAGAAGCATACATAGGAAGTATCTCTGCAACATATTTGTAAAGTATATAGGTAGAGTGACATTTTAATTCTGTATTTTAGAGTATATAATTTGTATGTGGATTAGGTGTTTCTTGTCTATATGTTATATTTAAATGTTGTGGTGATGACTATAAGTGGGAAATTCTTCAGTATGACAGTAAAGCATACTTCTTTCTTTCTTGTTGACCAGGTGGTAAAGCGCCTTCCCAAAACCCGATCTGGAAAAATCATGAGACGATTGCTACGGAGAATAGTGACAGGCAATGCCAGTGACCTGGGAGATATCACCACACTGGATGACCCCAGTGTCATTAAAGAAATACTTGACACATATGAGATATACAAAATAAAGCATCCTACTTTATAACAAAGAATCATGGAAATTTGCTGTTAGAAACTGAAGGAACAAGACATTGGGTTTTGTTTATTTCTATGAAGACTGGAAAATTGTCCTCCTAAAACGATCCTGTAGATTAGAATAGTCTGCCTCTAACACATACTTCCTTGTGTTGCCTTTCTTCGTCCATTGATCACCATGGAAAATACAGTTCAAATCATAAGATTCTAGAGACATACTGAATCTTTAACATATTGAAGATTCCACTAAAACCATAATTCGGGAACCTCTGGGCAGCAAGCATGCTGTTAGCCTTAATATCTGTGCCCCAAAGAAGATAGGAAGTACCTCACTGAGGGTTTTTTTAAATATAAAAGAGAAAGAGTTCTCTGAATATTCCCAACTATTTAGGTAGATTGAATTTATCACTGCTTGAAGTAATTGAATTTCCAAGTACTCGCAGCTACACAGATACGGATATTCCTGTTTGTGTTTTAAAAGAATAGTTGGATAATGCACTTTTCTGATTTTTAGTTTACTGATTTTAAAACTTTATATGGTGCCTTTTTAGTCATGCATGCATAGCTGTGAAAATTAATTGACTGATAGATCAAGTGGGAAAGAAGGGGTGGTGTATTGTTACAAACTGTAGTGCCATTAGTTGTGAATTCTGAACTTGGCTCAGATATCCTGTTTTGTATGAGGAAAATCTTGCCCTTTTCTTCAAAATGTTTCAAAAATTGGTTCGAGAATTAAAATATGCCCTGAGTCGTCCCAACATGTAAACTGTGGCAGTTGTTTTCATTACATCCCAAACCACCGGAAGTTGTATAGTGTCATGATCTTTTTTGGGTGATCATTTTTTTGCTACACAAAAATCAGGGATAAAAATGAACGTTTTTCCAATTACTACTAAATTCTACTAATGCCCCATGTAGGTTTCTTATGAAAATTGCAGAAAAGGGATAGGAAATCCCTTTCAAGATATCTGAAAATTTATTCTTATGTGGAAAAAATAAATAATCTTGCAATGTGAAAAGATGGTGTCCCAGGAAATAAGCCTTATATATAAAAGCCGAATGGTGGTGGCACTTCTCTAGAACATTCCACACGCTCCGAAATTGGTTGGCGCCCTGGTGTGTCACTCAGAATCTGTCCCTATCCACTGGCTGCATTGCTTGAGTCTCGCCTCCAACATTCTAAACAGTTTGCTGTTCCTCTCCCCCCCATAGCCAGTCAGAATACAGAGGTTATTTACATATGCAGCCTCATTGGCCTTTACCTCGGAACACAGGTCTTTGCATATGCGACTTGATTGGCTTTTGCCTCTAACATTCTAAACAGTTTGCTGTTCTGAGGTAAAATGGGTCCAATCTCCAGGTGAGGGCTCGAGATCACTCAGAATTACAACTGCTTTCCAGATGGCAGAGATCAGTTCCCCTGGAGAAAATGGTGGGCTCTGTATCCTTATATGCTGCTGAGGTGGCCCCCGTATGACAGCCAATGTGACGTAGCAGTCAGGGCTTCAGAGCACGGGAGAGGCTGCAGGTGTGTGGGGGGTGGAAAGCTGAAGAGTGAGGGGGAAATAAAGGTAGGTTGATGATTGGCTGGGAAGGAGATAGGGTTGCCAACTCCAGGTGGGAAATTCCTGGAGATGTGAGGGATGGAGCCTGGAGAGGATGAGGTTTCAGGAGGCGTGGGACCTCGGACAGGTACAAAGCCATAGACTCCACCCTCCAAACCAACCATTCTCTTCTGGGGAACCATCGTTGCCAATCTCCAGGTGAGGACTGGAGATAACTCAAAATTACAACTATTCTTTAGGTAGCAGAAATCAGTTCCTCTGGAGAAAATGGTGGACTCAGTGTCATTATACCCTGCTGAGGTCGCCACAGCAAATTGACACTGAGTGTCCAAGGCCGGGGCACCTGCCCAGAGCCTCTTTCTAGAGCTCGTTGTATTTATTTTCACAGTGGGCCTTTTCCCTAGTATCTAATAAAACTCAACAAGCATGTCTTGACTGCAATTCCAGTGTTTTAACTAGAAATATAATGATACTGTCTCTTAGATTAATAGGACTGTGCTCTCAGAGGATTTGAGGAATGATTGTTTATGTGGCATTTCTCCTGTTTTGTGAAGGAGAGCTTCTGGTAAAGGAGATTGTCTCTATCTTGTGAACTATTCCAACAGAACAATGTGTCAATTTTTAAATAGATATCACTCCTACTAATAGTAAAATGTCTTATCACTGTTATGTTCATGAAAGCAGCAAACATCAGGCCGCTCACAGACAAAGTGATACTTTGCATGTCATACTGTCTAATAGTAAAGTGGCTAGGCCTTGTATTGATCACTAAAGCAATAAAGTTGGACCACTTATTTAAAAAATTGTAGGCATTTCATTTCTGCATATTTAGAAGAATCAACAAGGCTACATTGTAATAAGACTTTGTAAATTATTTTGTTTTATAAACCCAAAAGAGCCCAATGAAAGCTGAATATGCTAGGAAGCATAGGAAGCTGAAGGGAGTTAAAGAAAGAAAAGGGAGAGAGAAATTGGCCTTTTAAAGTTCCATAGAGCATACCACATAGAGAATCAAACAAACAAATACCTTTTATTGACATAAAACACATAGAGAATCTTGGAAGAAGATTTGTGTGGGAGGGTGAGGGGGGATTTCCAAATAATTAATTCCACCCACAGAGACAGATTCAGGTGGGTAGCCATGTTGGTCTGAAGCAGCAGAACAAAGCTTAAGTCCAGTGGCACCTTGAATAAAACTTTGTGGTCTTAAAGATGCCACTGGACTCAAACTTTGTGATATATACGTTTATATATACACGCACAAATATACATACATACATACATAACAAGAGTACCCTCTAGTGGACAGCTCTAATAATAATGGCCACAAAATCTGTTTCATATGAGAGAGAGAGAGAGAGAGAGAGAGAGAGAGAGAGAGAGAGAGAGTCTTTGATGGGCTATTTTACATTATTCAGCTGTGGCACATTTTGCTGCTCAACATGGGACTACTCAGCCCATTTAATAAAAGGATGGGAAGACTGGTCCTATGGCCTCACTATGCTGGTGTTAGGTAGTTATGATACTGTATTAAAAAGCATCACCTGAATTGGGTCCTTATGAAGCATTACTTCAGAATTCTTTAAGCACAATTTCAGTGCCATTTTTTACAAGATATTTTGTACTCAGGCTTTGGAGCCAGAATAGAGAGTGTATGAATATTGTGTTACTTAGGAAGATTGAATTAGTATGCATATTTCAACATTTTTGTTCAAAATGTGGAGGAGCAGGGGTTTGATCCTTTCCCAGTCACAGCTCACATATATTTGAAGGAAGAAGCTACAATTTATATTAACTTTATAACTGATGTAAGATGTGGGTGTTCCATAGCTGTGTATCAGACTTGAGAGTACAAAATATAGCTTAGGGAATGGCCCTCAGAATCATCTCTACTGCTCTTCTCACAGCTGTCACCTTAGTAAAGAATGTCACAACTAGGGATCATTCATGCTTCACCCTCTTAATGATGAAACATATTGAACAAATGTCTTCTTGATTTTGTTGCCAGAAGAAAGGCGCTTCCTTCCAACAATCTGGAATAATAGATACAATAAGAGGTACCCATATTGCATTCCAGTAATCTAAATCCATTTTTCAAGTGTATAATAGTGTAAATTTCTAATTAGTGACCTGCATTTTGTTAGCCTCCCACTGCCTTTGGACAGATTATATTATAATTATTTTTAAATTTAAAAACCCTTTATTATAAGCAAACAATACAACTATAGGCTCATTACATTACATATCTACACCTTCCTTAAATATACATTACAAACTACAGTCTCTAAGCCTCTTTCTAACTTCTATATTCCCGCCACCAAATTCTAAACCTACATTGATATTTCAAACTACCATGCATACTTTATCACCCTCTAAATAAACACACCCATCCTTCATATAAATTCCAGTATCTATTTCTGCACATCCTGATAGCCTTTATGATTATTCCAGTATAAATAATTTCCAGGCTTCTACAGATTTGGCAATAGACCATCCTTTCTGAGTCCCCTCATCACTTCCTTTCTTTCCCGACACCCAAATCTTGTCAGAGATGTCTTTGGATACAGCAAGCCATCCTTCATCTTCTAGAGATAGAAGCCATAGAAGAGATGCCCATGGATCAGAAATTTAAAGGAGCATACTAGATATTTTTATCCCCAAAAGTCAGGGGAATGGAGAGGGATTCTAAAACTAACATCTTTAGATTTAAAAGAATTTTACCTGTATATCCAGATACAACATCCAGGAAGTATCTCCACTTCTGTTTTCAGGGATGTCATTACCAATACAGAGCTTTGCCATTTGGTATTTCCTCTTCTCCAAGGGTGTTTACCAAGGTTAGCAAAACTACATCAGGATGGAATTCACATCTATCCCTATTTAGACGACATAATAATCAGAGCCAGGGATGCAGCAACATTGACCAGCTTCACCCAATGAACTGGACAATTCCTTCAGAGTCATGGATTTGTGACCAACGACCGTAACAGTCACATGACACCCACAAAAAATCCATCTGGGGGCCAGGATACATACTCACTAAAACAAAGTGTTCCTACCACTCGAAAAAGAGCAAAAGATCATTGCCCTGGTGAAGGAACTCTGGGAGAGCTATGCTGTAGACATCATGCATCTGTCAGTTATTCTGAGCCTCATGATCTTTCCAATAGATTTAGTCTCAGACTCCTGCAGCAATCAGACTCAACAACTCACTTCTTCAGAAGGAAATTTTATTGGAGCAGTATTGGCAGGCCATCTACTTCAGGATCTGTGTTAAGACTAAAGCATAAAGTGCAGGGTGAACAGATATACATTGTTCAAAGGGGGTCACTGGGTGGCATAGAGCCAGTGAGGGGAGAAAAGAGGCCCACCAGAATGTAACGGTCCCACTTTCCCAGAGAAGGTGTTACGGGGAAGCATTCAAGGCCAAGCACATAAAACATAC